TGTTTGTAGCAGCGTGTCACCAATGTGTCCCATCCAGATTATGTCCAGCATCCAAGAGAGGCTGTACCATCTCGTGGTTCCATCGTTTTGGGGGCCCGTATGGTCGGCGACCCCTTGCTCTGGCGGTCCGCCGCGTTCCAAGTAGCTGCCCTCACTGCCCACTGGTCCCTTGGCATGGCAGCCATCCTTGCTGCATGACGCCAGATCTATCGCCTCCACGCGACGCCCCAACTGTCCATGTTAAGCTCGGCCATGTGATGTTCCAATGGTGCTGTCGCCCGCCTGATCCAGTCCATCCAAGGCTCGATTGTATATGAAATACTTGTAGAACAGTGGCTTCCACTGCTGGCTGGTGAGGCGCACGAAGCTGGAGACGATGCTGATGATGAAGGAGGTAGAGATGTTGAGCCGGAGTGGTTCTGTTCGTAAAAATCGTCTTCACATGCGCGTTTTGTGCGCCGCCGCCCGACGCCCAGTATCATGCGAAGCATTCTGCGCTGCGTCATTTGGAGCTTCTGCTCCATTCGGCAGAAGGCGTACAGCTCGAACAGCCACATAAGACAGTGGGCGTGACCACGCTGTCGAAGCGACGAAGAAAACAGTCCAGCACATATGTCTTGTTGATCTGCTCCGCCGTATGTACCATGGAAGGTGTCCAGCCTTGTCCTAACCGGTGGTCGATCTCCGTCTCCATAGGGCTGTCAAAGACTACGCGTTTGCCTACAGATTCTACCGAGTCTTGACCCGGCGCGATCTCTGTCTGCATGTCGCCGATTGTGGCGTGCGTTCGTTTTCCACGTCCAGGTCCTTTCGTGGCATTCGTGATGATTTTTGTATTATAGGAGAGGCCCGACTGCAGCAGCTGACTTTCGCATGTCCGACATCATTCGTACAATCTGTCACCAGCTGTGCCCTATAAGGAAGACGTCGTCCTGCGAACCGCAAGTTTATCAGTCAGGAAGCCTCACTGTATCCGAGTTCCACGCCACATATTCGATCAGCCCACTTATGCTCCACGTCCTGGAAACGATCTTCCAACAGCGTATTCAAGATGAGTGATCTCAAAGGTTCGCCCTGCTTGGTGTCCCTGGATATGTCGAACGCCCTGCTAAGAACATCTGTTTTTCCCAACCATCCTGTGGTGTTGGGTCCTCGTTTTGAAGAGACGTCGCCCCGCGTTCCTTCCTTCCTTCCCGCTGCCCCCTCCCTCCTCCCATCTTCATCATCATCGTCATCATCCCCATCATCGTCATCGTCATCAACATCTGTCGTCATCATCATTATCACCACCCATGTCGGCACACCCCTCACACGTTTCGTGACCCCATAGGGAGCTCCACCGAAGGTCCCAGTGCGTGTGCCCGCATGCGTCCCGCACACTCATTTCGGCACACCCCTCACACGCTTCGTGGCCCATAGGGAGCTCCACCGAAGGTCCCAGTGGGTGTGCCCGCATGCGTCCCGCACACCCATTTCGGCACACCCCTCATACGTTTCGTGGCCCCATAGGGGGCTCCACCGAAGGTCCCAGTGGGTGTGCCCGCATGCGTCCCGCACACCCATTTCGGCACACCCCTCACCCGTTTCGTGGCCCCATAGGGAGCTCCACCGAAGGTCCCAGTGGGTGTGCCCGCATGCGTCCCGCACACCCATTTCGGCACACCCCTCACACGTTTCGTGGCCCCATAGGGAGCTCCACCGAAGGTCCCAGTGGGTGTGCCCGCATGCGTCCCGTACACACACATGTCGACCCACCCCTCACACGTTTCGTGGCCCCATAGGGAGCTCCACCGAAGGTCCCAGTGGGTGTGCCCGCATGCGTCCCGCACACCCATTTTGGCACACCCTTCACACTATTCGTGGCCCCATAGGGAACTCCACCGAAGGTCCCAGTGGGTGTGCCCGCATGCGTCCCGCACACCCATTTCGGCACAACCCTCACACGTTTCGTGGCCCCATAGGGAGCTCCACCGAAGGTCGCAGTGGGTGTGCCCCGCATGCCGTCCCCCACACCCATTTTCGGCCCACCCCTCACACGTTTCGTGGCCCCATAGGGAGCTCCGCCGAAGGTCCCAGTGGGTGTGCCCGCATGCGTCCCTCACTCCCAATTCGGCACACCCCTCACACGTTTCGTGGCCCCATAGGGAGCTCCACCGAAGGTCCCAGTGGGTGTGCCCGCATGCGTCCCGCACACCCATTTCGGCACATCCCTCACACGTTTCGTGGCCCCATAGGGGGGCTCCACCGAAGGTCCCAGTGGGTGTGCCCGCATGCGTCCCGCACACACATGTCGTCCCACCCCTCACACGTTTCGTGGCCCCATAGGGAGCTCCACCGAAGGTCTCAGTGGGTGTGCCCGCATGCGTCCCGCACACCCATTCCGGCACATCCCTCACACGTTTCGGGGCCCCATAGGGAGCTCCACCGAAGGTCCCCGTGGCGCAGTCCACATGCGTCTCCTTTGCCCAGTACAGCGTTACGTGGCCCCATATGGAGCCCCACCGCAGGTCCCATCCAGCCAGCTAGCTCTCTTTGCTCCGCGCAGCGGGCGACCCGCGCGCGTCGCTGGGACTCCTCCGGGGCGACCTGCGCGCGTCGCGGGGGCTCCGTGCAGCGTTCCGCCCAGCGCCTCGCTCGCCCGTCGTCGCTCTGCCCAGCGGCAAGAGCCTTGCCCGCTATCAGCCAGCCAGCTAGCTCTCTTCGCTCCGCGCAGTGGACGACCCGCGCGCGTCGCTGGGACCCCTCCGGGTTGACCTGCGCGCGTCGCGGGGGCTCCGCGCTGCGCTGCTCCCGCAGCCTTGGACTTTTGAGTGCGCGGGCAAAGAGGGAGTAAAGGAAGGGGAGGAAGCGGGCGCGATCCTCGCGGGGGGGCGCGCCGTCATTGGCGTCGCGGCGCGCGGGCGATGCCGTCGGGGAGTCCCGGGGAAGCTCCTTGCGGCGGCCACGCCCAGCGTCACGAGTATTCAGAGGCAGTCGTTGTCAAACTATTGGCATTCATACACATTTGCACCACGCTTTGTCATATTCGCATTCATGCACGTAGACTCGCTCGCACGCAGATCATTCACAGTCTGACGCACGCGCGCAGATTCACCCGCGCTCAGTCTCCCTACGTACTCAGATCAATCGTTTTCGTTCACTTTGTGTACCACGCCACTCATGTCGGCACGCCCCTAGCACGGTTCGTTGCCTCATAGGGATCGCCACCGAAAAAATGAATCACTATTGCGGTACTCGCACCTGCATATGGTTGGGTCCCTCGTCAGGCTAATGATACGACCCTTCTGCCCTGTGTACAGTTTTGAGAGCAACGAAAAGTATGCAACGAGCACATTATGTTTCGCCAGCGCACTCCATAGAGTCTGATGTTCCACTATGTCGAAAGCCTCCTGGAAGTCACTCGCCGCGCACCACAGTGGCATATGAAATTCGCCAGTCTTCTCTTGTACAGCACATGCACATCATTTTCTGTACGGAATCCACTTCGGAAGCCTGCTTGGTCAGGACACTGGCCCTCCTCCAAGATTGGCAACATACGATTTGATCCGGAAAGCACTTTGCACAGCGCGGGCACGATGGCAATCGGTCTGCAGTTTCTTTGCAAGGCATTCATCACCATATTTCAAAATTGCCGTGATCATTGCCTGTCTCCAGCTTTCTGGCGGTTCTGTGTCTGGCCGTAAGATATCATTGAACAGCTCCGTTAGCGTTCCCACTAACATCTCACCACCTGCAATGGGCATCTCTCCAAGAACACCACCACGAGCAGGGCGCTTCTTCCGCTTCAGCTGCTTGACGACCTCCCTGATGCCGACCGGTGAAAAATCAGGTACACGATGTTGCTTTGTTGTTCCAGCAAGAACACTCGCTGGTAGGACGGTTAATTTGGACGAGTACAATTTGTCATAGGAAGACGCAGGAACATCGGCCATGCCCAGCCTCTTAGTGACCAGTTTCTCGCCGTGGAGCATGCACGGGACTATTTTTCTAATTTTGCAAATTCCCCATATCCAGAGGATGGGGTTATTGTTTCCCATCTCCACAGGGTTGGTTTGTAGTTACTACTCCGATCGCGTGGACCTTCCTCACCTTCTCATTGTCCTCCCCATCCTACTCAGGGATGCGCTCAGAGTATGATGATGCCGAATGATGGCGATAAGAATATGCTGATGACGATGATGATGCAGATGATGAGTGATACTGATGAAAAGTGATATCTCGTGCGAGGTGCTGGTTTTCGCACCCCAGATAGCCCAGATCGCGAGGATGGCTCGAGCGGTTTGATTGTTTGGGGGGGCCAGGCTCGTCTGCGATGAGAGCAGATTCTGAGGATTTCTCGGGCGAGGCGCGGATTTCAGCACCCCCAAGGGGGAGCCGCCAGGGGGTATTGCACGGCTTCCGTTCGCGCCAACATGGCGCGGATGTCGAGCGGTTTGCATGTTTCGGTGCCGCAACATCCGTTGCTTTCGGAGCAGATTTGAGGATGTCTCGAGAGCGGCGTTCGTTTCCACCCCCACGTGGGGAGAGAATTTGAGGATGTCTCGATCGGTTTGCCTGTTTCGATGGCCAGACTCGTGTGCACGGATCTCCCCCAGGATGCCACAGGAGGCTCCAACAGGCTCTAGGAGGCCCCAGGAGGCAACAGGAGGTCCCAGGAGGCACCAGGAGGCCACAGGAAGATTCAAGAGGCCACAGGATAACCCAAGTGGCCCCAGGAAGCTCCAGAAGGCCTCAGGAGGCTCCAGGATGCTCCAGGAAGCCACAGGAAGTCACAGGAAGCCCCAGGAGGCCACAGGAAGCGCCAGGAGGCACCAGGAGCCCCCAGAAGGCACCAGGAGGCCCCAATAGGCCCCAGGAGCAGGAGGCCTCAAAAGGCCACAGGAGTGGCTCCAATCCCATGTGTTGTACGTGTGTTCCTATAGATTTGGCATCCCCTGGATCACGAATCTCCGTCGCCATTTTGGCTCAAGCGTTCGCACGGCCGCGCCTCCGTCCGCGTGATGGCGCTGCCTAGAGGGGCTCTGGATCCCGTGATGGCTGCCCGCCTCGTCGAGGCGGCTGTGCGCGGGGCGCTCGGGGCGCCGAGGCTCACGGTGGCGGCGGTTGCGCGGTCAGCGGTTTGGGCGGCGGCCTTCGCCGTCGCGGCGCCGCCACCGCCCGCCGCCGCCGCTGGCGCTGGGGCGCCACCTCCTGTTCCTCGTCCTGGCGTTCTGGCCGCGCTGGTGCTGCTGCGGCTGGCCCGTCGGCGCTCGGCGCTCGGCGCCGGCGCCGCCGACAGCGCCGCGCGGCGCGGAAGGCCGCCGCAGCGCCCCCTGCAGCCGCAGGCGGGGGCGCTGGGCGGGCTGCTGGAGCCGCTGCTGCCGCTGCTGGTGCGGGCTTCGCGCTCGCCCCCGCGGCCGCTGTGGAGGCGGAGGCTGCCGACGCGGAAATGGAGGACTTCGGCGACGCATGGGCCGACGGGCTCGTGCGATTCCCGGTGGGGCGGTGGCGGCCGCTGCGGAGGCCCGCCCACCTCCCTCGGGCGGGGCCGCTGTCGCGGCGGAGGCGGCGGATCCAGCTCGCGGTTCTGGAGGAGCTGCTGGTGCTGCGGGGTGCGGCCTCGGGGGCGACGGCCAGGCCGACGGTGCCGAGAGGGGGGGGCGTGGGCCCATGCGTTCTCGGGCGAAGGTGGCGGCGGAGCTGGGTGTGGCGCTCGCGGTAGCGGCGCCTGCTGTAGGCGGAGTTGCGGCCTCGGTGATCGGCCCTGAGGAGGTCTTCTCGGTGGCCGACGGCCTCCTTCGCCAGGCGGTTGGCTACGAGCCTCGGCTCAGCGAGCAGCTTCGGCAGATGCTGGAGTCCGCGATCTGGTGGCCTGCCAGCGCCCTTGGATAGCCCTCTGATTGAGGGGAGTGCCTTCGGTGGTCTGGGTCTGTTTGGGCTCGGCACGGGATGGTTGGTGGCTCGCGTGGCCGCCTCAGCTGACGGCGCATGCCCTACTGGCGCGGCTGCGGCGACTACGGTCGAGGCCGCCGTTTGCGGCCTCTCGGTCCGCCCTTTTCTGCGGCTGGCGCCGCCTACCGCCTGCGCACGGCTCGTGCTGCGCGAGCTGTGTTCGTCATTACAAACAGATCACGAATCTACAATGTTTTACGCATGTCCCAATGTATTGTCTTATTTTTGCGCGTGTTCCGATTGATCGGGCCTCCCCTGGGGCGCGAGTCTTTGGTATTTTACGCGCGTTCCTATGCATTCCCCTTCGCCTGCGGCTCCAATCCGCCGTGAGTTCTGCACGTGTGTTCCCATAGATTGGGCTCTTGGGGCACGAGGGGACCCCGCGAGGCCACGCGAGGCCCCAGGAGGCTCCAGGAAGCGTAAGGAAGGTTTCAGGAGGCCCCAGGAGGCCCCAGGCTCATGCTCAGAGACGCGTTCGTACGATTGAGACTCATTCACACCCCAACTCGTTCACACTTAGATTCACTCCCAGACACTCACGGAGGACAGATCCATGCTAATATACTCCCATTTGGGGGGCGGGGGGTCCGCGCGCTGAGTATTCATTATTCTGGCCGCGCCGACTCCTTCCTCGCACCTCCTCCCATTACCCTTATCTCCCCCGTCCCTTTCATAATACGGTGATGATGAGGACGACGACGATGCTGATGATGACCATGCTCGTGATCATGCTGATGGTGGTTATGATGATGATTAATGATGGTGGTGGGAAAATGAAGATGAGGATGGGGATGGGGATGAGGATGGTGATGAGAATGCTAATGATGATGACGCTGGTGATGATGATGATGATGATGATGATGATGATGGTGATGATGATGATGATGATGATGGTGATGGTGATGATGATGAAGAGAAGGAGGAGGAGGACAGGGATGATGGCGATGCAAATGCTGAGGATGTCTCGAGCGAAGCCAGGGCTCCAGCACCCCCAAGGGGGAACCGCTAGGAGGTATTGCGCGGCTTCCGTTCGCGCCAAACTCGCGGGGGTGTCTCGAGCGGTCTGCTTGTTTACCAGTTCAACATATTCCGCTTTCGGAGCAGAGTTGGAGGATGTTTCGAGCGAGGCGCGGATTTCAGCACCCCCTAAGGGGGGAACCGCCAGGGGGTATTGCATTCTTCCGTTCGCGCCAAATTGGCGGGGATGTCTCGAGCGGTTTGCTTGTTTACCAGTTCAACAGCTCTCGCTTTCGGAGCACATTTGGAGGACGTTCGCATCCAAAAGGGGGCAGATTGTGAGGATGTCTCCAGACGTTTGCCTATTTTGCTGGCCGAACTCGTGGGCACGGATCCTCTTCAGGATTCCACAGGGGGTTCCAGCAGGCTCCAAAAGGCTCCAGGAGACCACAGGGGGCGCCAGGAGGCACCAGGAGGCCCCACGAGTCCCCTGGAGCAGGACGCCTCAGAAGGCCACCGGAGTGATTCAGATCCCATGTGTTGTACGTATCCTCCAATAGATTGTGCCTCCCCTGGAACACGGAACCTTCATGTTTTACGTATGTTTCTATAGAGTTGGACTTCCTTGGGGAACGAGTCCTTTGTGTTTTTCGCGTTTTCTTATATATATATATATATATATATATATATATATGTATATATATGTATATGTATATGTATGTATGTATGTATTTGTTGTTTTTCCTTTGCGGCTCCAATCCGTAGTGTTTCATGCACGTTTGTTCCTATATAGTGGGCCTCGAATCTTCCCCATGAGGCCACACGATGCCCCAGGACGCCTCAGGAAACCACAGGAAACCCCACGATGCCCCAGGAGGCCCAAGGGGCTCCAGGAGGTCCCAGGGAACCCCAAGAGGTTTCAGGAGACACCAAAAGGCCCCAGGCGCATGCGCAGAGGCGCACTCGTACTACTCAGATTCATTCACACTCCAGCTCATTCACAGTTTGTCTCGCTCCCAGACCGTCAATACTCAAGCCCGCGAATATTCGAAAACTCTTCCGCCTAGACACTCAGGGCGGACAGGGCCATGCTAATGAATGCGCATGTGGGGAGATCCTCGCAGTGAAGAGTTCTTGACGCTTCCTCTCCTCCCCTCCTGCCCTTTCCTCCCCTCCTGCATCCTAGTGCTGCAGCGGTTAGCTGCCACACCGGGGTGCCTACCGTGCCTGGTGTGCATTTCCCCTCCGCTCCTTTGCTTCACCGGGTTGATCCCGCGCGATTGGGGTTGTCGCGTTGGGGCGACCGGGGTGGTGCTCTGAAAGCCTGAATTCCATGCAAGATGCACACTGGGAATGGGCGGTCAGGTGGCCCCTGGCCTGCTCCTGGCTGGTGTCGGCCTCCACTGGTGACCGTCGGGTTCAGTGGGGTCTCGCTACGAATTCCACGCTTGGGTCACACTGGGAATGGCCGGTCAGGTGGCCCCTGGCCTGCTCCTGCTGGTGCCGGCCTCCAGTGGTGACCGAAAGGGTTCAGTGGGGTCTCGCACGCTGCCGACTTCCACGGTGCTTGGACTTCGGCATGTGTGGCTCGGTGTGCCCGTCGGCTGCTTCCTCCTGCAAGGATTTCGCTTTCAGAGGTATTGCCGTTCGCAGTCCCATATGTGACGATGTTGCCCCTCTTCGCTGTTGCGCTGACACGATGCAGTTGCGACGCCTACGGCACGGACGTCGTCCGGGTGTGCCTGTCGGTCCTGCTCGTCTCTGGCGGTGCTTTGTGCCGCTTCAAACCGAATGACTGACCTCTGCGTGTTTATGGTCGCGCCGCCGCGCCATTTTGGCTGCGTTTACTTGCTGGTTCCCACCGGGATCTCCACGCCACCGGGTTGGGAGTTTGTTTTTTGGTTTTTTTTGAGTGGTTGCCCGCGCGCTCGCTTCGCTTACCTTTCTCTTCTTGCTGCCTAGTCGCGGCCCGACTAGTGTTCGGACGGCGTTCGACATGCTACGCGAGCCCGCAGACCAAAAAGTGTCCCCACCAGCCCATCCAGAAACGATGCCCATGAGAGTTGACGGCGGGAGAGAGAAAGAGACACGCAGACTGGAGCAGCGAGGGAGGCGTGGGAGGCTCCGTGGCCACCTCGGGCCGTCTCGGAGCGGTCTCGGGGCCGCGCGGGGCATTTTGGGAGCCATTTTGAGCCAACTTGGGCGATCTGGGCCAAAGTGCAGTTCATACTTGCGGGCAAAAGTCGTATCCATATCCAGTGCAGTTTGGATACCCATATTGAGCCAGCTTGGGCTCTCTGAGGCCGCTCGGGGCCTCTTGGAGGCCCCTCCGGAACCCGGGAAGGCCGTTTGGGGCCCTTCTGGAACCGGTCGGTCGAAGCCAAGCATTTCCTTTCTGGGTGGAAGGCAAAGGGTGAAACCTGAAATGCCATTTCGATCACAAGACGGATTAGTTTTCGAGGTGCGAAAGCCCATCTGGATTCCCCCCCGAACCCTCCACCCTAAGAACATGCTCAGCAAAAGAGGGGGGTACTCGATGTTGGTCTCCCCTCTCGGGAGGGGTGGCGAAACATGGCCATTTTCAGTTGCCGAAAATGGAACTTCCGACACCTCGCGATCCCTCCCGCAAAACTTCAGGGAGAGCTCCCCTTTTCCGAAGAGAAGAGGGGTCGTGGAAGACGAAAGAGAACCTCTTTAGACCACCTGTCGCCCAAAAGGCTGGTGGGATTTCCTGTGTGTGTGCATGTGTGTTCAAACCTTGTTTTGAAGCCAGAGAGAGAAAGGGGACAGAAAGCGGCCGAGAACAGGAATAACGCAGGGAGAGGGAAAGAGAGAGAGAGAGAGACAGAGAACAACAAACACAATACATGGGAAGCGGCATGACACATATAGAGGGAGAGAGAGAGAGAGAGAAAGGCACAGAGAGCGACTGAGAGCAGGAAGGTGTCAGGGAGAGAGCGAGAGAGAAAAAGAGAGAGAGAGAGAGAGAGAAAGAAAGAGTGGGATGGGACGCGCTGGAACACACAGAGAGAGGGACGGAGGGCGACCTGGGAGCCGGGAGAGCAGCGCGCGAGCGCGAGGGGGCCGAGGGCGAGAGAGCACCCGAAGCCGAGCTCTCCCTCGCGCCGGCGCCGTGCGCCCGTTGCCCGCCTCGAGCCCGCCCCCGCCCTCCCCCGCCGCCCCGCCCCCGCGCGCCCCCGCCCCGCTCCGGGCCGCCGGCTGCCGGGCCGTGGGGCCGAGATCCGGCGGCGAAGTCCGAAGCCTACGGTCTGCACGAACGACATTCGGGAGGGAAAAAAACACACAGACACAATGAATCTTCGATTCCCCAGAAAATATGGGAAAATATGGGGATTGGGGGGGAATACAAAAACCCAGAAAATATATGAAAATATAGGGAATCTGTTTATTTGTGTATTTACTTGTGTGTCCTTGGCCCCCTTCAGAAATGGGTACGGGAAGAATGGGTACAATGCCCAACAGCGGATCCGGTCCACTTTGAGCAGGACTCGCTGTCCACGCCGCCGCGGCCTGTGCCCATTCGAGGCAGAAGGCCGCCTGCCCAACAGCGGCCGCTGCTGGTTTGGGACAACATTTGCTGTTGGGCATTGTGCCCATTCTTTCCGTACCCATTTCGGGCGTCCAAAGCGGTGGGAGCTCGACTACAATAGAAACCTTCCACAAGAAACCCAGACCTGAGACTCGGGCCGACCGAAAGGGGGGATGGGGAAAGGGGGGGGTGCGAAATCTGCTGCATGCGGCTGGTTTCGGCCCCGCCGCCGGGCCCATTCTTCGATACGTGGGCCCCTCCCGGCGCTGGGAGGCGCTGGGAAAATCAGCTACGCGAGCTGATTCTCAACCCCCCCCTTTGCTATCCCCCCTTTCGCCTGGCCCGAGAGACCCCAGGACGTACATTGATTTGTAGTGTGGGAGCGCCGCAAGAGAAGCCATCGAAGCCGGAGAAGCCCAGGCCACCCAGGAGGCAAGCAGGGTGTTTCTTGGCATGGGCCTCTACTGCCGGTGAACGACCCGGCGGCGAAATCCGAACCCTACAGTGGAGGCCCATGCCAAGAAACACCCTGCTTGCCTCCAGGGTGGCCTGGGCTTCCTGGGTTCTGGTGGTTTTGCTACGGAACGCGTGGCGTTCGCAGTCCAAAAATCGATGTACGTCCTGGGGTCTCAGGGTTGGGCTTCTTGTGGAAGGTTTTCCGTGGTCGAGCTCATTCTCTACCTCGTCGGGCGCGGTCCACTGCCACTAGTCGCCAGATGCCTACTCGCAAACGTCCGACAAAAAAACCGTCCGCATCTACGCAGTTGGTCGTCTATCTTTGTCGGCGGAGCCGGGCCATTTGCGAGCAGTTTCTCTGCGAGCAGTGGATCGCTACAGTGGAGGCCCATGCCAAGAAGCACCCTGCTTGCCTCCTGGTGGCCTGAGCTTCTTGGGTTTCGATTGTTTTTGTTGCTACGGAACGCGTGGCGCTCCCACACCAAAATTTCATGTACGTCCTGGGGTCTCAGGGTCGGGTTTTTGTGGAAGGTTTCTCGGTTTCTGCGTTCCACTTCTCTTAAAGTGCCTCCTCGCAAACGTCGGGAAAAAACACGTGCGCCTCTACGCCGTTGATCGTGAATCCTCCTCGGCGGAGCCAGGCCATTTACGAGCAGTCACGTTGCGAGTAGTGGAGCGCGCTTGTCTACGAACCTGACCCTCGCCAGTCCGCGATTCAGGCAGCTCGGTTGGCGGCGGCAGCAGGGTTCGGGCGTCGCCGCCTGGAGGAGAGATCGGCTCGATCGAGATGGGTACGGAAGGAATGGGGACGAAGACCGGCAGCAGAACAGGGTTCGCTGCCGGTGCTGCCGCGGACGGTGTCCGCTTGAGGCAGAGAGTCGCCTGCCCAACAGCGGCCGCTGGGCAGAGTACCAGGTACTCAGGCTGAGTACCTGGTACGCTACCCAGCGGCGGAGTAACTCAGCTTCTCGTATCCGCTTCAGGCGTGCCTGGAAGAAAGAACTGCATACGTATGATTACGAAGTTTCTCGGATCGTTTTGCTTGTTGTCTGCGCGGATGTTTGTTGGATCGGCGTTGAGCCCTCCGGCGGCCTCCGAACGCTGATGATCCTGCAGGCTTCTTCCTTGGGATCCGCCTTCCCTGAAGTCAGGCGTGCCCCCCCACAGGAGGACGATTCAAAAAGAATCAGAAAATAGCCAGGGGACGATGCTTGATGCATTACTCTGTGTATACTTGAGCATCTGTTGAGTATGATCATCTATATATGTATATCTCTATACAGAACAAACAAAAGGCAAAACAAAAACGTCCAACATGCACTTGTAGGAGGACATTCCCGACCTTAGCCTTCCCCATTCGCCTGGGAGTCCCGTCGAAGGAGTGGGCCACGGGAGACCCTGGATGCGCACGTGCTCCGCCCTCTGGGCTGCCCGCCCCTGTCGCCCCCTCCTCCGCCTCCTCCGCCTCCGCCTCATCCTCCTCCTCCTCTTCCTCCGCCTCTTCCTCCTGCTCCTCCTCCTCCTCCACCCCCTCCTCCTCCTCCTCCTCCTCCTCCTCCTCCTCCTCCTCCTCCTTCTCCTCCTTCTCCTCCTCCTCCTCCTCCATCCTCCTCCTCCTCCCCCTCCCCCTCCTCCTCCTCCTACTCCTCCTCCTCCCTCCTCCTCCTCCTGCTCCTCCTCCTCCTCCTCCTCCTCCTCCTCCTCCACAATTTCTCAATATGAATTCTACTCTCCCTCTTCCCCTGATGACGGTTTGAATGTGGCCGACCCCCCCCCGCGTAATGTTTTTAACACAGGTTTCCCCGGAGTTGGGTTTTCGCCTGCATTTGTTTCAAAATGCTGCTCTCGCTGAGGCACCGGCCTCATTTTCGGGCCCCGCTCGTTCCGAACCGTGATCTCGCTGCAGCGTTGGCCTCATTTCCGTGCTTCCGCTCGTTCCGAATCGTGCTCCCGCTGCAGCGATGGCCTCATTTCCGCGCTTCCGCTTGTTTCGACTCGTGCTCCCGCTGCAGCGCTGGCGTCAGTTCCCGTGCCATGCCACGGCATGCAATTCAATGCTAGGTTGATGCTACGCTTTGCGGTGCTCTTCTACGCCATGCCATGACTTTCTCTACAATGCATCGCGTACCCTTTCGGGATCATTGCCCTGCTCGACATCCGACTGAGCGAGTAGAGAGGGGATCTGCGCCATGGTAAGGGATGGGAAGGAGGGGTAGGATGTCAGATATGACGCGAGCGCACCTAGCTTGTGCTCCTCCCCCTCCCCCTCCTCCTCCTCCTCCTCCGCCTCCTCCTCCTCCTCCTCCTCGTCCTCCTCCCCCTCCTCCTCCTACTCCTTCTCCTCCTCCTCCTCCTC